TTCTCGTAATTTTAAATAGATTGCGTAGAAACTAAAAAAGCATACAGGGTCTGCTCTCCCGAATTAGATCAATGTTGTCAGAATGGGGGAACATGTCTCAATACCAACTACAATATAACCTGCAACTGCTCCGACGGTTGGATGGGTGATTACTGCAGTGAGCGCTGTCCAGTAAATTTCTACGGTCCAAGATGCAGCCTAGAATGTCCGGCTTGCAGTAATGGTGGTTCATGTGATCCAGTTAAAGGGCAATGCGACTGCTCGCCCGGCTGGACTGGACCAACTTGTGATGAGAAATGTAGTTCGGGGTGGTATGGAAAAGACTGCGCTCTTGATTGCAGGAGCTGCACCTTGGATGATGGTCAATGTCATCATATAACAGGTGAATGTGAGTGTGCACTGCCATATGGAGGACCATCCTGTAGAGAGATCTGTCATGATGGCGGTAATGTACAATGTGGCTGGTTCCCAGACTGTTGCCGCAATGGAGCTACGTGTAACCAAACTGGCAGAGAGAGTAAATGCAAATGTCCGCCTGGCTACATGGGGAAATTTTGTGAAACACGCTGTACAGGTTTTTGGGGAGATGGATGCCATCATAGGTGCTTATGTAATAATAATGCAACGTGTGATCCAACAACAGGGGAGTGTGAATGCACTCCTGGTTGGTCTGGCAAATACTGTCAAGAAAGTTTAAAGCCAGCGATTGACTCTTTAAAATGTCCAGTCAATTGCAGTAAGGATTATGGTTGTGACCAAGATGGACATTGCATATGTCCATCAAATATGACATGGAATGAAGACACGTCGTCCTGCCTCCGGTATTTTTATTTTTATTTTTTTTAATTTCTACTCTTGTTTTTGCATTCAGCAAGGGTTTTGAACATGGCAACAATCAATGCAATGAAAAACATCACCGTTCACTTTGACAACTACTAACATTATCACTAACTCCACTGCTACTCATGGGCGTTGATCGATGGGATTTTCAAATAATATCAATTGTCCCATCACTTTTCACCAATCTTCTATAGTTAAAACCCCACTTTTCAATGCGAGTTGAAAAACAACAACAATTACGAATGACTGTGCTGTCATGAATTTTTCTGTTCACCTTTATTCTGTTTCCTGTACGATGCGTATTTCGGGACCAAAAACCGAGCAAACTTGTTTTCACATTTCGTATCTCAGTGACTATTTCATCGATTTTATGGGTGCAAACGGTTATCAGAGGTTCAATTTATTGTGAAAACAATGTACACTTGACATTTACATCTTTTGAATGGTGTAACCCTACTAGGCCAAAATTTTCACAAACTCAAATGTGCACGATTTCTACTATAAACAATTTATTCATTTTTATGTACATTATCAATCCCCCTTTATATAGATTCTTTTTTTTCCCAAATTTCTAAAAATTATAGTTAGTCAATTGAATTTTATAGGCTAGAGCCGTTATTAAACCATGTACAGCCAATGACACGGTTACTTGGTTAGGGGCCTATCTATTTTAAACTTATTTAAATATAGATACCACAATTTACGATGTTACATTCACTCAATCTAGCCGATGACGTAATTTTATTGATAGGATAAGTTAATCATCTTAATGGTTTGGAAAATAAAAATGTTAACTAATGTGCTATGTTTCGTATCTCCATATTCCTGTTTGATCGTAAATTAGGTCGTAGGTGTATTTCCACTCACAATACTGTTGTCGGAATACTACTTACACAAAAGTGCAATTCA